CTCGATCCCTTAAAATTTTTTTTGGGATTGAATTTGCTAGGTCAAAAGAAGAAATATTTATCCACCAAAAAAGAACTATATCTTTGATTTACTTCTGGAAAACAATATGATAGGGTGTAAGGCAGCTGATTAGATAATCAATGATGATAATAAATTATTAACTATACTTAGTATTTGAAGTAATGATTAAGGTTAGCATTCTCATATTTTGCTTTCTTGAGAAGATTTTTTTGCAAAAATTGCTACGAAATGTGAAAATGTTTTGCAAACTAAATGTTATGCTTTAATTTTTTTAATTATACTGCAAAATTTGACAGTTGATAATTTATATTTATTAAATAAAATATATATTTTTAATTAACTATATATATAAGGACATAATTATAAGTTTGGATAGCACGACGCAAAATAAAATACTGTAAGTAATTTTATATATTGTTATTTTACCATAATTGCTTTTGAATTGGTCAATTAATAAAGGCAGAGAGACATTCTATCTATTCACCGGCAAAACATTGACAATTTTGAGTTTTCTGCTCATATAAAATATTCCTACAAATACTATTACGAGACTAATGTCGTTTTGGCACCATGTGATTGTTTTCTAATAAAATTATTTTTATATATAATTGTATTTTTCAAGATTTGAACAATCAATAATTTTAAAAGTGCCAGTTATACATATGCCGTTAGACTCCATCAACAATTTTTTGAATTTTGACTAAGAATAACTTTCCATAACAATAATAATGATGCTTATGCATTTTTTTAATACTCCAATATAAATAAATTATAAAAATAAAATATTTTTGTCAAGCAAAATAAACACGTAATATGCACATGTTTATTTAATATTTAGATTAATGGTCTGCATAACGGAAAATTTATTCACACAATCCGATTACATAATATAAAAGGGTAAAATATCTTCTTTTTTTTTGTCTAAAAAAACTGCCTATACATTTTCTCAAACTGCTGCATTACGAAATTTCAAAATTTAGAACTCAAAATATTATTGATTTCCACAAAATGCACTCGAGAACTCTCGAAGAAAAATTAATTTATAAATATTTGAATAGTATTAATATTTATTTAATATTTAAAATTTGTTATTGCATCAGATTATTTATTAATATAATTATTGTTATATATCTGATTAGAAAGTAAAAATAATTTCATTTTTTATTCAATTAAAAATTTAAAATAATATTAATTATATTTTAACTAAAAATTTAAAGTATAAATAAATAAAGTCTAAAAAAATTACTGATAAAGAATAAGTTTAAAAGTTTATTAAATAATTATACAACAATATTCAATTTAATTCACTAAATAAAATTATTACATAAATCACATAACATCGTCAAATTTAATAAAAAGTAAAATTTTTAAGATATTACTTATTATAATTATTTTGATAATTTTTAAATTTTTTGCATATCTTTATATTATTATTATAAATGATTTAAGATATCTTTCTCTACCCAACTAAACAAATAATATTTTTAGAATAAGTTTTTAAAAAATAGTACATTATTTTATAATTAAAAAAAAAAGGTTAAGGTGAAATAAGAAGAGAAGAATGTGAAGAGTGAGGATGAGAGGGTAAGTAAGAGAAATTACTGTGTTAGTTGGTGTCTCTTTTTCAGGAAAATGGACTCGAAATGTGGTTTCCGTCCAGCTGACATGATAGTGACAGGAGTACGGTGAGGAATCATAAAAACCCTGCACCCTCGCACTGTTCTTGTTGATCATCACATGGGAGCTTCTCCAACCCCATCCCACGTACTCCCCCTTGTCATCCACCCTCTTACCTCTTCCCCTTTTCACTTCTAATTTTTCACATTTTTCATCTTAAATATATTTTACTTCATCCACTGTCTCTGTGTTTGACTCCAAATCAAATACCCCTCCACTCATCCCTCACCCAACAGGTATGGTCCAAGAACCAGCTCTTGCTGTTCTCCGCTGCTTCCACGAAAGACAAGCAAATTTTTATAGTATTTTTTTAAATAAGAAAATAAAATAATTTAAAATATTTTTATTAATCTCTATAATTTGATTGAACATGTCTTATAGAAGGGATAAAAATAAGTATGATAAGCAAAGCTATTAAGTTTATTTTAGCTATTGCAAAAACAGTAATCCATCTTATAAAACTAAACAATTGGTTTTGGTAAGTGTTTCATAAACAGTAGGTTGGGAAATCTTACACCTGAAGCTCCTCGAGATCTGACCAAATCTTGTTTTGAGTTCTTCATAAGAATTATTTTCAACATGTTTCGAGCGTCAGTTACTCTGCACTTGGGCCTCCCTTTGTCTACTCCAATAATGCTTATTGCTATCCATAATTGCTTTTCTCCCTTTTCTGTTCACTTGTAGTCATCCCATCCCTAGTTCCACTTGTCTTAATTCCAATCATGTTTTTTATTCCATTCATTTTTGTATATCATTTTCTTTAAAAACTCCCAAATTAAATTAATCCATATATTTCTATTTTCATTTGATTAAATACAAGTTTTCGCTTCTCTCTTGTGTTCATCAGTTGCTGAATTTTATAGTTATTTGTACAAATTCAAATGTAGGCCAGATAATATAAAATAATGTAATTTCTTTTAACGAAATAAGTGTGAGGTAGAATAAACTTTTAATGCTGCTCAAGAATTATAGATTTAAATGGCACCTAACTTCTTTAAGGTTACTTAATGGACATCGAATCCTACCCAAGCAAAATTTCTTGCACCTGAAGTACTTTTAAAAAGCTTATCATATTTGTACAATGAAACGATTCAGCTGGGAAGGTTGTTAGGATGCCATGTGCTTTGTTTTGAGAGAACGAAACATTTTTAAATAATCATAGATATTCTATATTCAATATTAAATGGGTAAAATTGTACTTAGCACGTTAGAGCTCTTAGAAATTAAAAAGTTTACTTAACTATATGTGTGTTTGGGTAGAAATTTATAAAATTATCAAGTGTTTTGTGTTTTAATTTGTTTATAAAAAAAATTAGTATAAAATTTTTATCTAAAAATAAAGTAATAATTTATCAAAATAATTTAAACATGAATTTAGAAGTAATAATAATATATCTAAAAATAAAGTAATAATATATCAAAATAATTTTTATCATCAATTTACCAATTGATGATAAAATTGCTAAATATATTATAACATATATTCTAGACCAAATTTTTAAATTTTTAAATTTGATTTTCTATATTATTAACGTCAAGGATTTGCATCTAAGAGCTAAGATTTTTTAAAATTTTATTTACTCACACATTTCTTGAAATGCATGACACCTAAGCAGCTCTAATGGTGTTAATTTAGTTTTATATATGATATTTGTGTTATTCTGATATACTAAATAATATGTACTAAGTTGTGTTAAGCTGATACTTGAATTAAATTTGAAATGCAATATTACGTACTAATTTTAGATTTCTAATTAAAGATTAAAGTTCTTCATCTTCTCCTTGCTCTTCTTCAATCTCCATAGAAGCCAAGGGAATGAATGTTCTTAAAGGAGGTTTTGGAAAACTTGAAAGAGAGAGAGAGAGAGAGAGAAACTGTTAACCAACTGACATCCCCATGATCACCTATCATTATTCCAACAATCAATATACGTACCCAGAGGACCATATATATAGAGATCCTCATCCTGCACACCCTAACTATAGATGACATTAATATGGTGGTTTTATTAGAAAATCGAATGGCTTTCAATTATGTAAATGAAATGTTAGATGCCTCTATTTTGTTGTTGTATGATGGGGGTGATAATGAGAAAAACATTGAAAAGAAATAAAAGTTAAATAGCACCATTAAGTACAAACAAAAAAGAAATTGAATCCTAACGAAAACTTATTGGAACCAAAATTTTAATTACAACTAAAAAATTAAATTTGTATTTAAATAATACTCAATATTCATGATTAATCAACAACATATTTCTCAAAATCTGTAATAAAATGCTGGATTCATAGTGCTTCATTAAACCTTTTTACTCTCTTCTCATAAATTAAGTAGGATATTTATTAAAATTTATCCTGCATAAGATTACACTTTTCAAAAAACTCGTAACAAAAATTAACAGCGTTAAGATTTGATAAGATAACAATGGATTGTTAATGCATTGAAGCGTGGAGGGGGTTGCGAAGGGAAGAGAGAAAAGTAAGGGTAACGCTAATGGAATGGTAATAATAATAAGACATAAATGAGAGAAGGCAAGGAGAGAGTGACGTCACGTGCTGTCGGAGAAGGAGGGCACGTAGGACGCTCCCATAAATGCAGACAGATTAATTCGTCCGATGTGAAGTCCGTGTCCTAAGTCTTATTTTATGGTTCCTATTTCTGTTCCCAAATTCTTCAACCACATTCACTTCTCCTTCTTCCAGAGACAAACACCCCCCGCTTTTTCACCAACCATATTCCCCACTCTAATCACCCTCCCCTTTCTCTCTAATTCTTCTTCTTTCATGCTTGTGCTTTTCTACATTTATATTTAGTGGTAGGTATCCAATTATATTCCAATACACTGAACCTGTTCAACACTCTTCCTCTATTATATCTTTTCAAAAATTAAAAAAAAAAAAACAAACTCCCTAGCTATTTATTTGCTATCTCTTGTAAGATTATAGTTTACAATTTTTTTCATTTAAAAAAGGGTTAAGAAAAGAGGACAGAAATAGGTTATGGTCAGTTAAAGTAAAAAGTAAATGTCTGAACAGTGTTGGTACAGGTGTTAATTATGTAATGGCAAGTATTTGAAAGGCTTTCCAGAGTGAAACAGCTCTTTTCTTCAGACCGGTTATTGATGACCACATCCTCTTCTCATCTCTTCTTATCTTTAAAACTAAATAATAATATTACTATTTTATTAAATAATAATTACTATTACATATTAAATTCAATATAAATACATACAATCTTACTTACTTAGTTATTAATATCTGTCTTTGTGAAACTGGAAATCATTCCTGTGTTTTATCATTCACTTGGCTCACGGGTCATGTAGAATACTAGAATAGATCTTCATTCTTCAATCTCCTCTCAAGCCCTAACCCTAACACAAAACCGAATTCCATGTAAAAAGAGGGAGAAATTAAAGAATATTTTGCGAGGAAATTATTTTATTTTATTTTTTGAAAAAAAAGTGGAGAGCGATATGGAATTTGACGAACAAGAAGAGCAAGAGGAGGAAATGGGGATGCGGGAGCCGCCGCAACCGCCGCCGCCGAGTTACGACTCGCTAGGGAACTCGGCAACCAGGTCCAAAATCGGCGGCGGTGAGGGAAGGAAGGGCGGGTTCGGCGCTGCTGTGAGGTACAGAGAATGCCAAAAGAACCACGCCGTGAGCTTCGGCGGCCACGCGGTCGACGGTTGCTGTGAGTTCATGGCTGCTGGGGAAGACGGCACGCTGGAGGCCGTGATCTGCGCTGCCTGTAACTGTCACCGGAATTTCCACCGCAAGGAGATCGACGGCGAGATGACGACGTTCCACCACCGCCCGCAGCCGCCGCCGCTACATCACCACCAATTGTCCCCTTACTACCACCGGGTACCGCAGCATCCCGCTGCCGGTTACATCCACCACCACCTAGCAACTCCGATGGCGCATCACCGACCTCTGGCCCTCCCGGCGGCGGCTTCCGGGGGTGGACTTAGCAGAGAAGAGGAGGACATGTCGAATCCGAGCAGCAGCGGTGGCGGTGGCTGCGGAGGAGGATCGAAGAAGCGGTTTAGGACGAAGTTCACGCCGGAACAGAAGGATAAGATGCTTGCATTTGCGGAGCAACTTGGATGGAGAATCCAGAAACATGATGAACCTGCTGTGGAACAGTTCTGTGCTGAGACCAATGTGAAGCGAAACGTTCTCAAGGTTTGGATGCACAATAACAAGAACACTCTCGGTAAGAAACCCTAATTTCGGATGTTAATTCTTTCTCTCTTTCCATGTGTTGTGTGTGAAGAAAGTAGACACGAAAAAAAATTTATGTAATTTGAAATTTAATTAATGGAGATCAAGCTAGGGTTCTTACTCGTTCTTCATTTGGTTAAGTTAATTTCAGTTTATTTTATGGGATTTTAGTGTTGGCAAGTCGTGTGCAAGTGCAACCTTGATCTGCTAGCACTAGTAGGCCTCAGGTAAGGAATGATTAAAGTGCATGATTAGGTTAACATGTACTATTATTGTACATTAATTGCGGATTAATTGTCGTTGTCTGTAAATTTAAGATAGACCAAATAAAGACGAATTATGGAAAAACTTGCTATTGTTTTAATTTTCATTGCAGTATATATCATGCGTGATGTTTAAAATTAAGACTGAGAGAGTAAATGAGCGATTGAGGCGAAAGAAGATTCCACTGTATTAATTGAGTTAAACACAACGTAGATTCATGCAAATGCAAAGGTGATTAAGTTTGCGTTGTGTTTATGTAAGCTTGGATATCCTGCATTATTTTCTTCACTGCTCCAGCTTCTATCACATTAAATTCTACGGTCTTAAAAAACATCCCAAAGTCCCCAGCATTTAGAGCGGGGTGAGAAATTCATAAATATTAAAAGAGATTGATGAATCTGAAGTGAGTGACAGTGATTTGTTAGTGAAATAGTGGGTAGTTGTTGTTGAAGATGCAGCGAGTGTGGCATTATTAATTGTTTCAGTTAATTTCTTACACGTTGGGTTGCTGCTGTTTTACAAAATTGTCTCTAAAAATAAAGGTAAAAGAGAAAAAAGAAGGGGGTCATAAATTCCCTGGTTTCAATGATTCAATACCATTCTCGTATGTGTTTGGTTAGTGCGGTGTGAAAAGCGAGAAAGTAATGGAAGAACAAAATAAACTAGGAGTGGGTGGGTATTCACGCGGCAAAATCGTACACTGTTTGCCTGTCGGGTCATGCACAGATTACAGACTTGCAGATCAGAAGTGCAGACCTACTTTTTTTTTTTCCTTTTATTGTTATTATCATTAACAACGTCTTAATCATACGATAAGAAAAAAAAAGCGCACAATTATGTATATTTTATTAAAAAGAAAATAGTTAAAAAAATAAAATTTTCTTTTGTTTCAAAACTTTTTTTTTTCTATCTTCCTTTTTCTTTGCTATGAAATAATCAAGGAGTATTCTTTAATTCTGCTTTTTCTACTTTTCTTTATAGTTTTATTATTTGTTCCTTGCAACGTATATATCTAGAAAGAAAAAGTCGTCAACAAAAATTAGATGTCAAGGTGTTGTTTTAAGTTTAGTTTCAGCTAAATGCATTTTAGTACTGTTGGTTTGTATTTAATTTTAATTATATATTATATATTAAAGCATGTGTCATTGTAAAAAAATATTGATTCTAAGTATTATTTAAATGACGCCTTTAAAAGATTCATAAGCTAACTAAGTTGGGATTTTGGCTATAATTTTTTTCTTTTTCTTCCAAAAGAAATACAAATATGATTTTTTTTTCGTTTTTTATTTTAGAAGTTAATTTTTACGTTTTATCAGGAAGTACTTAAAAATGTATTATTTTTTTATTTTATTTTTTCAAACAAATTATTTAATCATTTAAAAGTTTTGTAGATATATATTTTCAATCAATTTTTTTTTTGTCAAATTCAATTTCTTTACCTAAAAACTTACAAATGGGCGCTAAATTGATTTGAAGTAAAAAGAAATGAATTCAGAAACTTATATTAATTGAACAATTTGCTTTTAATAAAAATCAAAAGATTTAGCTATTTTTATTTTTGTTTCTGCTCGTGAAATCAAGGGTGTGTTTAATAAAATTAATTGACAAGGTAACTGAAAGCTGAAATATTAGGTAAAAGTTAAAAGGATGAAAGTTAAAAAGAATAGTTAATTAAATTAGTTATTTAATTAACTAGTAAATATAAAATAACGGATTAGCAAATCTTAATTTTTTAGTTAAAAATTTTATATTAAGTAATTATTTATTTAAACAACTAATTTTTAATTTTGTCCTCATTTTAAATTATTTGTATTAAATATATGATAATATGGATTAATCTATATTATTATTTTCATTATTTATATTGTAATATGACAAGATTTAAGAATGTAGTCATATTTTAATAAGATTTAATGATAGAAGTAGTTCAAAAAAGTTAAATATAAAAGAATTACAGGAAGTAGAGTTAAAAGTAACGTTTAAAATGTTAATTAAATACTATTACAAAAAGCTTTTGTAACTATTTATTTTAGCAACCTTGTTAAATAGAGTTATTTTGTCGAACAAGTATTTCAAAGAGTTATTTAGTTTAACTTATTATTTAGGTTCCTACGTACATTCGATTAAGCTAGTTTGTGTTATACTTTTTTTTTTAAAGTGCTATTAAAATTTAGACAAATTTATTGTTTATAAAGAGAAAAGGTAAATGGCAGTTTATTCAATAAAAAAATATTAAAAACTGAATAAGGAAATTGTAACAAATAAAATAAAATTGATTTAGCCTAATTTTATTCAATTTCTAATTTTAAAAACTCATTGGTTTAGTTAAAATTAATTTTCCTTCAAAATATAACTAAGCCAAACTACAAACACTATAAATTGTTGTTAGTTGTTTATACTATACGAGGGGAGGGGTGATTGTGCATATAAACAACTAAAGGATGTTAGTTTTTCCGTATCTTTTAATTTACTCCCTCTGTCTCCGATATCATTTTTTTTTGGTGTTTTAGTTTGTTTAACATATTTATCATTTAGAAAATAAAATGATTAATATTCTTTTAATAATATCCTTATTTATTAATATCTTATCTAAATAAATGAATTCAAAACTATATTCTAACTTTTTAAATAAAGATAGTTTTGTTAAAGAAAATTATTTTATCGTAATAGTTTATTTAATTAATAATTTTCTTGGTAACAGTTGAGTTCATTAGCGTACTAGTAGTAAACAAAATGTTACGTAGTTTCTTGAAATAATATTGAATATATTTGAAAAAGACTATCCGAAGTATTTTTCTTTAATATTCAAAGTTATTTTAGACAAGTAAGAAAATTGAGTGATTAATAGTAATGTGGTAAGTTATTAAAATTTTCTGATATGTAAGGAATGGTATTGAAAAATGAAAACTGAATATATTACCACTCTGTTAATCATTTATTTGACTAACTTAAAGAAAAGGAATGCATAAATTACAGTATGCGCGTGACAACAATCTAATTTTATTTTTTAAGCCAAAATAAAAGTAAAAATACGCTTGGTTGTGTTTTTCTCTTTCTACATTATTTTTTTTTCTCTCTCTATCTCTTCATTGCAACTTTAACATTAATGTTCAAATGCTTACCTACCCTTCCATCAGAGGCTAATGTAAGCAACAATGGCATGAGTTCATCTATAATTCCATAGAACATTAACTATTAAAACATAATTTTTGAACCAAAAACTATCAAGAGAGATACAAAGTGCTTCATTTTTCAATCTAAACACAAAATCATGAACAAAGTTTAAACTTTTTTTTTTAATTAAAACAACCTTCAAATACAAGTTTGAACATAGATTTAACAAGGTAAACTCACTTTGCCATCTTGAATCACCAAAGCAGTTGCAAAGGGACGAACATTGCTCAAGCGAAATTTTAAGTGAATTTAATTTCAGATTGATATTCAGATGTGCTTGAGAGTTATTTTAACATAAAAGTTTAAACTTTGTCATTATTTTAAATTCTGATTAAAAAATGAAGCACTTAGCATCTTCCTAGATGCTTCGGTGTTTTTGTTTGTGACTTTGAAAGTACACCATGCCTTTTGGTTGTCATTTTATCTTTATTTAGGAAGGAAAGCAATTAATAGGGTTGCTTATACGCAATTGTGTTTAAGCAAAAAAAAAAAAAAAAAAAAAGACCGAATTATCATGAAACTCAAGTGGACCTTATCCAAATTATCCAATAAATACAGAATAAATCAGCCCAAAAAATTAGTTTAGAGGTGAATGAACATGTAATGCATAAGCATGTTGTTTACACTAGATTGATGGTGATTTGACTGAAAAATTGAGTGAAGTGTTGACACTAGATTCCTGAAGATAGTCTCCTCCGTACACCCCCTAATGGCTTTACAAAAGTGACGTATCGATGAGTGATATTATGATTTGATAATTTAGGATTAATTTAAAGGCTGAAATAATGGGAAAACACGGTTTAAAAAAATTAAAGATATCATTACGAATTTGGAAGTAATTTACTCGTTGACTTTACAAAGACCCTGAGATACCTTGACCCTATGAAAGCATTGTTTTGATAACTTACCCTTCAAGTTACTCAAAGTGGTGGAATATATATATGTTAGCGGATTATCATTCAGGTTGCTAAGAACTCCTTAGGCACTAATGCAGACATTTCTCACTTTGATGGTTGAGCATACTCGAATGACCAACCATAATATTTGAGAGATAGTAAAATAGCTTACGAGTGCACTCAAGTGACCAAGTTATCGCCGAGTGTGGCGCAAGAGATACACTAATTTACTGAAATAGCTTAGAGCAAAAGTAAAAATTTACTCCAAGTGTATCTTAAGTGATTATTATATGGTCAAAATGTCCTACGAGGATATATAGTCCTCAAATTAAGAGCTAATATTAACGAAATAGCATACGGTGAGGGTGTTTATTTACTCCAGTGAGATCAAGTGACTGAGGACATGGCCAAATGTTGCATGAGGAGGGTACACATATGATCATATATTTGAATTTCATCTAAGCAATTTATTTAATTTCGTGCCAAGCTGTAAATGGCCTACCTTTTCCATCACTGAAAAAATGGAAGATTTTGCCATGTCATTTGTTTGATCCAGCAAGTTAAGGCTGTTACCGTATCCAAAATATAAATTCTGTAATAATGGTTTATAAAATTATATATATATTTATAAAAACCAATCGCCATAAGAATAAATTTCGTAAATCAATTAATTTCTTCAAGTTTCTGCTCTTAATGTCTGTTATATACATTGTTTTCTTCTCCAACTTAAAGCCAGCCTTATCAAAATTTGGTAACCAAAAATTTGCACAAGGTATATATGTACTAGAAATATCTGTATGCATGTGGTGCATTCGCATAATTAATCAATAAGTCCGTTAAACAATTTATGAAAAACCAATTCATTGACATAATTTGGCTTTTGGACGTGTCTTGAAATTTGAAAGCATGTCGGGGAATTAGACATCTGAATGAGTTGGTCATACATCGCCCTTTCTTTTTCTTTGTTTTGGTTTGATCATTTTGGGGGTTCATAGATTGAATACAAGTGTCAGTGTGTCGCTACTCCACTTGTGATTGTAAGCGTAGTACCCTACTATACTAGACGGTCAAATCAAAACTCAAGATTAGCTTGCGAATTGCGACATGTTAACGTGCATCTTTCTGTATATTGGTTACGACTTGACTCAAGAATAGCATTGCTAGACTTCGCTAAGATAGAAAAATGGTTCTATGGCTACGGTCCATCCATGTATGAGAAAAAGACGAAAGCCACCGAATAAGTTCTCACTAAAACAACCAAATCAAGCCCATGTCTTCTTTCTTTTATAATTTTTCGTAGCAAATTACTATTCATTAATGAAGTCTATGATTAGCATACTATAATCTAATATACATCACACGTACACGTGTGTTTTATAAGATTCATCATTAAACTTAATTTCAAAACAACTTTAAAATATCCGAAAATGCAATGGTGTAAGACTCAATTGCGTTCACAGGAAGTTTTGTATTTGCATTTAGATTTAGTGTAAATTTTCCCACTTAAGCTCTGATCTTGCACTAAGAAAAATAGCATATAAAAATTCATACTTTATATTTATAAACTTAACAAAATATTTACTAACTATATCCAAAGGAAAAGGTTATCGTTATCTCAAATTACTGAGCATTAGCATGAAGATCTGAATTTCTGTCTATAAAATCAATTGCAACCTTTTTTTTATTGAACTATAGATGGCAGATTTGGTGCAAGTTGCTTTAAGTTTGGTTGTCGTTATGGAGACAGGGCTGCTGGGTTGATGAGTAGCGAGTTCAGAGATGGGCCACAATGGGCCCTACCTGATCCGAAATATTAATCATCAAGTAACACAGAAGATGGGCCTGGAGAAGGTTTGATCTTATCTTGTTCTGATCAACCGTCAGTTATAATTAGGCCCACCAAGTCAGGGCCATTGAATAAATCTCCCTCATGGGCCAGGCTTCTTATGAAAATAAGTGGGGACCATAAAAGCAAGCCCTCACAAAACCTTTCCGATGGAGAGAACAATAACCATTTTCCTCAGTGTCTCCCTGCAGGATACACGTACGCTTCTTCAGGACTATGAAATGAAAAAAGGACTAGGAGTGATTAGTTACAGTAATTTAAAAAATAGTAAATAAAAAATTATTAAAAATTAACATACAGAGAATTGTAATAAAATGAAATAATATAATATAAATTTTAATTTTTAATTAATGTTCTTAATTTTTGCTTTTGGTTAATCATACAGATTACCGATTTAATTTGTTGTGCTGTGTTTGACGTTACATTTTACGAGTTTGATCGCTGCCATATCCTTATTTCCTAAATCTACATGTCCTCAATTTAACTGAAGATGAATCTACACACCATCAATTAAATGGCAGATCCTGAGCCCAAACCATTTTATAGAATCCGTAATCCTCAAAATTCTTTTGTGCCATTTCGTTAATTATTCCAGTGTATATACTTCAAAATTCATGAAACTAATCAAACTCGTAATTTGATTTTGCTTTTTCCTAACTAAAGGCCGATATGACGTTTTTGTTAAGATTTTAAACATGTTCGTTTTGTTTTAATTAGGTTCAATTAAAATGTATTTTGATCCATATTTCAAAATGATAATAAATCAGTTTCTACTATTATAATAATGTTAATAGATTCTAGGTTTGTTTATTAAATATTTTGTTGAACTCGAATATGATATTGCAACATTACTTGATTATAAATGTATAATACTTTATCAGAATGTTAGCGTAATATTTAATATTAAAAATATATTTAATTATTATCTGTTTCATCATAATTAGTTCATAGTTAATTAATGAACCCAAATTAATAATTTTTCTACTTTATTGGCTGTTTTAATATTTTTGAAAAGAAAAAAATTATAACCTTTGCATTGACCATTTCAATCTAAGTCACTAGAACAAAATGTTATAATCCGAGTATCCGACCAAACAATAGACCTGGGTCTTTTAATTACTCAATCATTCGATGTTTAAATTTAAAAGCAGCCTTTATGAGAACAAAAGAGAAAAATAAAAATCATCCTTCTCCGTGATATACATACTAATGAAATTCCGATTGCTAAAAAGGGATTAATCGATTAAGTAAATCCACTTTTTAATTTTCATTCAACTTACTCGGATCGATAGGAATAAAGGGAAGGAAGTTTTGGTGTGAGACAAAAATAGAAAAGAAACTTCTTTCCGGGGGAAGGGGGAGGAGCTTTTTTTTTTTTTTTTTTAATAATTTTTCATGGTATAAAATTAAAAATAATTAAAACATTAGTTTATGTTATGAAAAAAATAATGCAAGAATATATTTAAAATATATTTAACAAAACATCATTTTTTAATTAGATTAAAACATTATAACTTATTTATTTCTATTCTTTGTTTTATCTAAATAAACACAAAATTATTCATTTATTGTAATTTTTTTCATTTAAATAACATTTTTATGTAGTTTTTTTTTATTTTTATTCCTCTATTTTTCCCTTCCATTTCACACCTTCTTCAAACAAATGTAAATGAATTAAAAAAAATTCAAGAAAAAAAATAGCTATATCTTGTTAAAATGATGTAATATTCTTTGTAAACTATAATCAATTCACTACAAGAAATATGCTACTTAGTGTCATTTCATTAGTGACGATTAGTAATAATGGCCACTAAAATATTTTGAAACTAACATTCAGTTGATTTTATTAACTGTTGCAAAAAATGTGAGATTTAGTGGAGATTTTTTATAACTGCTGCAAAAAAATATAGAATTTAACGTTAGTTTAAGATAACAAAATATAAAAAACATCACTCCTCTTCCATTCTCCATCACAACATATATATTATATAATTTATAGTGTTGAATAGTTAGAAAAGAGCAATTTTTGGAGAAAGTGAAAAGGATAGTAAAATAACAAATTTTCAACTACTTAACACTATAAATTATAATATATATATATATATATATATATATATATATATATGTGTGTGTTGTGATATTAAAAAAATAAATGGAATGTAAACCAAATAGCAAAAGAAAGACCTGGAGTAGAAGATAAGAACGAAAAAAGTGTGAAAGTAAAAAATAGAGTACTGTCATATGAGTCTGAAATTTGAATTTTAAATTTTAGCGACAGTTCAAAATCGCCATTAAATAATAGCCGCAAATTTAAAAATTTTGCAGCAATTCAAAATTACCACAAATTTAGCTTTGCGTTATCAACTTTAACGTCGATTTTACAACTGCTGAAAAAATATTTAAAAGCGATTAAATTCACCATTAATCATTAAATTTAACCACCATGAATGAATGATTTTTTTTAGTAATTACAATAGTTATTAATAAAATAAATTTACTCATGATCCATGTATAATTATACATAATGATTAGTAAAAATAAAATTTAATTTACATTTTTAGAATTGAATTTGAGCAACTAATAATAATAACTTTTATTAATATATTTATTATACTTTTATAATTATACTATAATAAGTGTATTATTTTTAATGAAAAAATTACTACTTTTGTATACTTAATCTTGACTTCAAAATTGAAGTTGAAAGAATCTTAATTAATTTAAGTGATATATTTGTTTAGACTTAAATATCTGTAGTAAATTAATGTAGATGAGAAATGATAGTAACATATTTTTAGCTATTAGTTAAAATTTATTAAAAATTAAAAAAATAATGTGAGTCACTCTTAATTATGATTATTTTTTATATTTTTATATTTTTCAACAAATATTAACTAAGAATTAAAAGTGAATTAAAAAGAGTAGAATAATTCTAAATCCTCTTATCCATTATTTCTATAAATCTTCCTAATTATTAAATGAAAAAAGTGCTTAATATGTTTTATATTTTTAACATAATAATAAATAAATATTTTATTTAATACTTATTTTACAAAAAATTAAGAAGATTATTAGGTAAATATATAGCAGAGTTTAAAAAGAATATGTTACTAATACTCTTTTAATATAGATTAGACTGAAGGAATTAACTTGTGCTTATTAAGATGAGAGAGTAATAGACTTTATATATTAATGTTAGTTGCTCTATATACTACAACTTATCTGATTAAGAGCTGTAATTTAAGAAAAAAAAGAGTAAAAAAGTTTTAACTTTTCATTATTACATTGAATAAGAAAATCTTACAAGAAAAAATAAATAAACTTAAAAATTTATTTAGTGTTTTAATTATATATAATTTTGGTTGAATGCTTTTGCTTAAACATCTGACCTTACATCAAATCAAGCCAAGAGAGCAAACAAATAGCTTCAAAACAATATCTATGAAGGATAGTTTGTGAATTCAACGCAAAACTTGTCCCATGCACATCCAATCAACGACACTGCAACGCCCCTTGAATACTTGTAACAGCATTGTTATAATGCACAAAGGCCATAAACCAAAACTCATAGTTGTCAACAGTAATAATTTGTATGTATTTCTCAGATGAGGTTGTTCCGATTGTTAATGGATTCACCGCTCTGAGCTGAAGCAACGGAAGAACTACCTATTCATCAAAGAAATGTAAAGCGTATATGTGAGCTCTTCATACTGAAAAGAAAGTGAAAACGTAGTGCAATGTAAGAATATGACAAGCCTAGATAAAGCAAGTATTGAAAAGTCATTTAAATCGTTAAATGTAATTACTGTGTGTCAAATACTTCTTAAATATGTGTCAAATTATTCTTAAATATTGCAAATAAATTATTCCAATGGGCAACTTGATTTTCGCTAAATTTATCAGTGCTTTGTGCAAGTAAACCTTTTGGAGATCAAGTTCTCATCTTGAATACAAGTTATAATTAACGGTAATTGTAATATAGCAAGAGAAGAGAATGGACGAAAAAATAAACTTCATTGTTAACGATGAAATTAATGTTTCCCCTAAACAATTGGTAAGGGCTTTCTCCAGACTTGCCGAAGTATCATTTCATAAAGGGAGGGGGGAAAAGAGCTTACTGAAGTACTAAATTTTAAAACTTTTCCACTGAAATTGATTCTACCTTCTTTATCTAATGCCAACCCAAAAATGAATTTTGAGTGAATAAGTGCTAAAATTATTCAACATTCGAATGATGCTAAACGAATGCAGTACATCTATATATTTAATCCAATTAACAAACTAAGTTTCCTTTAATATATATAGCCCTTATGTACTTTATTTTAAATTGGACGCCAATAACTCCTCTAACACACCTTCAGCAATTCAAATGAAAATACTTCCAAACTACACAAATTTAGTGCTTAACGTTCATAATTAGGAAATCAGAAGCTATGTGTGTCTATTAAGCACAAGCTTACCGAATCATTAATGTCACAGAACTAAAAATGCTTTACGCCAATATTGGCACATTCAATTATCCTTAGGGTCATTTTGTCATTCCTTGAAAAGATAATGCGAATCAGAACAAGCATATTATCATGAGCAATTGAGCGCCACAGCTTGCTTCTAAATTAAGGAATATGTATGTATCATTATATGGCCACCTAACGAGCAACACAAGCATAGCTAACACAGCATAAAGTTAATGAAATTGCACCTTGACAAACAAAGCACGAGCAATTAAACTCTTTCATAATCATGGATGAAAGACCAAATGCCATGCACAAAAAGTACATAATTGTAACCACCATGTCAGAAGAATGTTTATTTACACAGTTGAATCAGTTGAATGTTTATTTAAACTACTGAACTGATTATAAAATATTGTAAATAATTCATTATTCATCTAATAACAAATAGTAATTTAATTTAAATTTTTTATATTTTTTGATAATTTGATGAATTAATCAGATTTATACATGAACAAAATAGATGATTAATAGATAAATGAATTGAATTACTATCCCAACACTGTTATATATACAGATCATGCCATAAAAATCAGTTTGCTTGGTTGAGAAAAATGCCTAGTATATATTACAGACACATAGAATAAGAAATAAATTTGCAACTTACCTTATAATAGGTCCATTGAGTGTGCTCACCCATTTCGTAAGAAAGTGGGTAATCACTACAAAATGCGAGTTTAACTGTAGACAAATATAAAACTCCCACTACGGGTCCAGTTGAGGTGGAAAGATAGCATGCATATGCTTTTAGGAGCTTCTCCTCAGAAACGGTCTCAAAACTCTGTTTAAAGATCTTCTCGTGGCCACCTTCTGCAATAACTCTTGTCCCCATAGCAATCCTCTCCACCGCAGTGTCAGCAAAACTAGAACCCGTTTTCACTGTTTCATCGAAACAAGAAATCGTATTTATATGAATAATGATATGTTGATGAGTACTTTGAAAAATCATATGATTAAAAAATTATTAATTTTTGTAATAATGACTTTATTTTCTATTTAGTCAACAATATTACAAATAAAACTTTTTTTTTTCAATCAAAATTTCTCCCTTTTAATTTTCTGTTAACTTAAAATTATTCTTAAAAGTAAATTCATATTATTAGCAGAACTTAAGTAAATAATAAAACGTACAGTGGTGCCACATATTTGCTGCAAGGTCCCTGACATTCTTGGTAGCTTGCACTGCTTTCTTTCCCCATTTGCCAAGCCCATCTTTCACTGAATCCAAGTATCCCCAACAAAACCAAAATCTTGTTAATCTAACTCTTTCAAATTAAGTTTAACCAATTAATCTCGAAAAAAAACGACAATAAATAATATTAAAATTTTAATATAATAAATATTTTTTATTAATATAAACTTGGTCGACCTTTTAGATGCTGTTAACAAAACCCAAAAAACAGAGAGATATGGTCGATCACAAAAACTCGTAGCTCAATTTTTGAGTAGCGTGTAAAAATGCCAACAACGAGCATGGAGTAATTATAACTATTGAGAGGAAGTGAATGCTCACTGTTCTCAGAAGTAGGTGCTGACATCGCTGATGTGTTGTTGGACCGTTGCTCTTGCTGCGACATCGCTGGTACCGATGATTTGGGGTAGTGTGTTTGATCAAATCTTACATATTTTTTTGGTTCTATTGTATGTGATGGTTGATGCTGATGCTTGTGACATTAAAACAAGTCTACGCAAGGAATATATTTTAACCGTACAAATTTATGCTCTTCGTGTCGGAAAATAGTTGAATTAGAATCTTGATGGAGGAGAATATTTATAAGATAAAATATAAAATGTCATACAATTATTACGTTACAAGGCATGTCAAAAATCTAAGAGGGTTTTTTTGGGTTCAACGTCTATCTTACCGACTCATTGGGCTTTTATTTGGTCTAGCTGTTTTCAACTTCAAGGTTTGTAAATGTGGATCGGACCGTAGGCTTTGTTTTACTTTTCATATTTGGGTCAGCAATCTTACCCATATATGAGTCAGAATTTTCCAAAGCCTGTAAAAATTTGTAAAGCCCATTAAATTGTCTATCACTCATGTGCAATATAATTCTGTGAATAGGCAAAAGTTTGTTTGATTGTTCGTATAGAACAGATGTAGGTGTTTGAAAGGACATATATTTTTCTTGAATGAATTTCCCATTCTCAAATGAAAGAATGCTCTTGAATGATATGAATGGTTCAATTTCTTGCTACAGAAACAAAAGCTCAATTATTATCACAATATCACGCATATTTTACACAATATTTCAAAAATAAAATTATCATGATGATCAAATGTCCGAATTGCACTATAAACGCAGCTTGTTGTGAACCTGTAGTAAACGCCCGTTCTCTTTCGTTTGAGATGCTTTCAATTTGATCTTCCCGGAAACAACAACAGTGAGATGTTTTCAGAATCATATTTAAATAATTATAAGTTTATATTTATTCCAATGCTATTAATTATAATTTTTACATTGAATTTACGTGTTCAAATTAAAACATACACTAATGTTGATATGTTGAATCTTTCTCATTTTGTAAAACATGGTGCCGATTATAATTGATCCGTTGTCATCCCTTTCTTGCTGTGTGTAATGAATCTTATTGATTTAAATCCTTTTGTCCATACGCACATGGCTGTTCCCTGCTGTTGTCTTCTCATCACGGATCTTTCTGTGTCTGTTTGCAATTTGCATGATCAAATATAACCCTTTTGAATAGTTTTGAGAACGCTCCTAATAAAATGCTTTTCTATTTTGACATAAAAATATGTTATTTGAGCATGTGGTGCCAATATGGATACATAAAAGTTATTCCTATTTAAGCATCAAGAATCAAAAGAATAGTAACCAGTGTTTGTTTACAAGTGTGTGTAACTCAATAAATATATTAGCATTTTAATGTCTTTTCTTTTTTTACTCTTTAAAATTCTTTACAAGTATTATAAATATTTGTCAACTTTTTGAAGAATATACCGTCAGAATATGAAGACAACTATATAAGTTTTGTTTCACCTACGTTTGAAACATTTTTATCAAAAATAATGATGTCATGGAAATTAAAGATTTTTTTTCACCTCAGTGACAACAATAACGGCTGTGATTAGACTAAAATTAAATGAGCATGTAATTTGATAATTTTATAGTTTATTTTTTATTTAAATTTTTTATTCTTGTCTTTAAATGTGAAAATATAACTTTTAACTTTTATGTACAAATATTAATATTTAAAAATATCTTACGTATAAAATATATTTTTATTCTCTTCTAATAAATATAAAAAATTTATTCAATAACATTTTCTCAAAAATGGTGATATAATATTCTTTTATACTAAATAAAATTTAATATTTACTTATGTTTTAAAAATATATTGTTTAGTAAAATAAAGTAATGTAACAAAGTATCTATTAATATTTGATAAAATTGATCTATCTGATAAGAATCTTCAGAGTAACTGTTGAAATTAACAATCCTGTATTGCATGAAAAGTTAATAAGTAATGTAAATATTTAAGTTTGACACACAGTTTTTCTTAAAAAAATAAATTATTATGAAAAAAGAAAAACCCTTGAAGCAATGCATGAAATGTATTAAGATGAGAAGGCAACAGCATAATATTTGATTATTTAATTTTACTATTATGCATTTTTTTATTTTTTATTTTTTTGTTTTGCGTTGTCAATTACCATTACTGATGTCTAAGTCTAATACTGAATCATAACCCTTTTTGTCTTTATGAGCTGGGGTGTCGTAAAGGGGCTGTACCAGACAAATCTCATTGTACGGGCCTACGACAATTGGGAATAAAGCTGAAAATGCAAATTAAGCCCAAACAGAATTAACACTATTACTGTTTATTTAATCAATTTTTTTAACGTGTATTTAAAGATACTTAATATAAATGTTATTTTTTAAAAATAAAAAATATTATTTATTATATTTTCTTATATACACATTAAAAACATAATTATTTAATTTTTGTGTGTTATACACATATAAAGTGATAAAGACTATGTTTAGTAAAACGAATTAAAAACTGCAAGTTTATAACTTCTAGTTATAAAATTAGCTTAGAGCTAAATCCTTGTAGCTGAAAGTTTCACGTTCCAACTTACGAGTTTCAACCCAAAACAAAGTTGCGGCCCCTTAATTGTAAAAAAAGATAAAACAACGAAACTATGAAGACTACGAGAAGAGGCTGTGTAAATATTACTGATTGATTCAAACTAGATATTCCATAAACTGCGTCTTGTAGGAGATATAGTTTGGTGTTAATTCTTATCAGTTTTTATTGCTAAAGTTACCATTTGTCTAAGTAATTAGTGATTTGCATTCATATTCAAACAATTTTAGTTTGTTGATTATTGTAGGTCAAATTGAATAAACTCCTTTTCAAAAAATATAATAATTTTTTTATCACTTTGATAGTAGCTGCACAATAAAATATTGATTAATCTGTAATTTTTTCAATTATTTCAACTTTATCTTTCATATATATATATATATATATATATATATATAAGATTTTAAAAAATATTTTGCAGGTACAAATACTTACAATTACGAGTACTTTAATATTTGCGCCCACTTTATAATAAGCAAATAAAAAAATTATTTAACTAAACCCGCGAGTATCAATATGTGAGTGCAACTCGCAAGTAATTTTACCATCTTTGAGTGTATATAATACAATCGTGATTGATGGAAAAAAAAAACTTTAAGTTAAATTTGATTTTGAGTTCTTAAATGATAAGTGATACTTTATTTCTTTAGTATTGAGTATTTATTTTTTGTGTATTAGTTTAAATATTTTTTAATTCGTTTTTATATTATTATTTTTAATTACATTGATAAAAAAAATTTAATATTTTTTTAATTATATTAAATAAAAAAATATTTTAAAATATATTAATTATTGAATTATTTTAATACTTTTATTTATTATGAGATTTGCATTATTTGGAATATTATTTTTTATTCAGACGAGTAGACACGTTTATTTATTTAATATATAAGACATCTTTTAATAAATAGATTTTTTTTAAATAGAGTATAAATTTATAACATATAACCGATTTTTATTAACTTTGATAAATTAAATTTATTTTATAAATAGTAACAAAAGTAGTATTATTTTAATAATATTCGTTGCCTAAGAATTCTGTGGTTTTCAGCCGACTCATCTTATCTGCACAGATTCAAATTACTTGTTCTATTTTGCTATCTCATCCTGTATCTTTCTCATTAAAAGTAGTTAATTTTGGTCAATGTCATTTTTAAATGAAAAAAATTATTATCATCGGGTAAAACAAAATGAATAGATTATACAATAAACTCTTTGAAACATTGTTTTTAACACATTTTTATTAATTAAAATTTATTTAAACATAAAATTAATTATTTGACTTTTAAATTAAGAGTGAAACTTATATATTCATTAAAATTTGTAATAAATTTTAACTAATAATAAAAAATGAATTTAAAAAGAATACGTTAAAAGAATGTTGATATATTCACATGTAGATATGAAACATGATATATCTTTTGTTGCACTCTTGTCATGGTAGACTAGAATTATCTTCCACAGTAAATAGATCCACACCTAATCCATGAGTTCCATTTTAGATTTCTAGTTGGCACCACATGTAAAGATTAAGCGGCCATAGAACTGTTTCCTCAAACCCATGAAATCGATATTATAAACAGTTTTCTAGATTTTGGTTGTAGCAAGGAATGAGTATGATCTGGACATAGTCTGCAACACGATTCTTATCTCATAGCTGTTGCTGTAAGAACATGACAAACGAACTGGGCCCTCACACAACTCAAAAATTATGAGGCTACATCTACATGTATCAAGCTACAGAAGACGCCTTTAATGCTTTTCCATCGTTTGGATTGGAACTGCATCGCCCATATCTAACTTTAAATAACTTTATTATACTTTTACTCAAGCTTTTATTCAAAGTGGGAGAGGGGTTCAACACACTCCTGTACTTTAGAATTCCAGCTTCCAAATTTTCAGATGAAAGCAAAATATAACAAGGCATCGTGTGAGGGGAAATACTACCGTAATAAATATTACTAATGCACTTCAAATTCTAACAAACCAACAGGATTAAAGAGTATATATGAGACATAAGCCATTTATTTGACTGAAAATTAGATTGTCTAAAAACTAATAGTGTGCAGATTAAATTACAACAATATTATCATAGATGTATAGTTGTCTGTCAATACTTTCCTTAAATTTGTTGAAAACGAAGCACCAAAAAAATGGTTGAAAACTGAGTGTCTATTTGAAAATTTGTTGAAAAACTTGTAGCAAATATAGATTTAATGCAAAAGTTTCAACTAATAAAGTTCAAGCAAACGTAAATTTAATAGCATTTAAACAAAACCCACACATGCATGAACTAAAACTTTAAACATACACAAATCCTTAAATTAACCTTGTGATTACATAGGTTGGATATTTTAATTCTTCAAAATTCAATTTTTGGTCTCTTTTTATCTTATTGCTGTATTATTTTTAAAAATTAATTTAAAATCCAAGGACGAATATAAGATTTTTATAACTTTAA